AGTTTGAAATAGGAGGGAAATGTAGGGCCAGTAAAAGTGACACTTCTACTCAGGCAAAAGGAATCGGAAGTTCCAAAACGAATGTAGCGAAGCCATCTCCCGGGAAACAGAAACTGCTGGATAAGCGAGCGTTCAAGAGCTTCCCTCGCGTTGGCTCACTGAACTAATCTGATCACTTCTTCAGCAGCATTTAAGAGCTTCAATTTCACTTCCATTTTCAGTACCATGTAATAGTGTGTCACCGTTTCTGCTCGTATCGCTCAACGGGGCAGAATGTTGATCGTGGACTTTCTAGCTTATACGGTCTCCAGATTTGTTGAAGGAGCGTGCCAGGTGGGACGAGTTTAGCGCGGCGCCAAACCCATTTTCCACCAGTTGCTGAAGCGAGCACGCGACAAGACCTTGTCCTGTCGCATCAGCCGTTTTCCAGCAGTTTTTGTCGCTGATCCACTTCAACAACTGCTGAAGAACGGGCTTGGCGTTGCGCCGAACCCATCCCACTGGCACGCCCCTTCATCAGCAGCGAACTGTACTTAGTTCCGGAGATGGAATGTTCCGCAATTCGACTGCGAGGTAATACGTGGTCTCGTAAAACGAAAATGGTATCATTACTTCACAAAAAGGCCTCACTCGCCCCTCGAGGTAACCAGCTCGGTAACACTACGATAGCTATATCGTTGAAGTACAAGAAAAATCTATTAGCTACACTGACCTGCAAGTGTATGCGCCACAAACTGCAGAGCAAGTGGACGTAAAGAGCTTTCGGCCGACATTGGTGATTGTTTCGTTTCCGTTATACGCCCTTGGCTTACACTTTCAGAAGCTTTGGGAGAGATCTGCAAATTATTTCAATAAGCGTTTATAATTATCGCCTCAAACAAAGCAATATCGACGTTTCGTAGGCGTCTGAAAACATTCCCTTTTGAACAGACACAAACTCGCGTCAGCGTAGTCCTAACCATATGGAGTGGGGGCCGATTGGCGATGGAATACGGATTGGTTAAATTCAAGAGCTTTTACAGAGTCGGCTTATCATTCCGAGGAAGCCATCTTTTCGGACTCTATGTGTTCAACGACATGGTCGTGACTAAGGAAGAAGGCTAACTAACAAAAACCCAAATTGTGGGCCCTCCAATTAATTTATGTGAAGGACCATATCCCTAACGTAACTTTCAATCTTTGTCCGAGAAGCAGTAAATAAATTTCATGTCAATCCTTCCGACTCGCTAATCACAAGAGCTCGCGTACCTCTTCGTAGCTGCCCACTCTTTTCCAACAAATTCCTTATTCACAATTGGTAGATAGCAGATATAAAAGACCAGTAAAGGTGTGTAAAGGGGAAAAGCGAGACCTCCAAACTAAAATCACGCAGAACTAAGCTGTCCCAGAGCACCTGATGTTAGGGAGGGGGGAGAAGAGTGTGTATGCGGTAAATGGAACTATGTGTTGCCAAATCTTGTGCATTATATGAATGTTTTTTTAGGAATTTCATTCAAAATTGAACAACGAAATTCCGCAACAAAAAATAAGTGTCAAAAGGTGGGGAGGGGGTGGAACTTGATACAGAAATCTCATTCTGCATACACATCACTCTGTGAAAAGTCCACCGAAAACAGACGTCGGGAATAAAGCTGTCGGCTATTTTCAACAAAATCCTCTTAGGTGGGCGGATGAAGGCCAGTGTGAAATCAAGGGTATGATCATAGGAAAGCCCATTCAACAACGCATATGTGCGACAGAATGAAATTTGAAAAATTACTGTAAATAGTATTGAATAAGTGCGAATTGTTCGCGGCAAAGAGAGGTCGTGACTATCTGGGGAGAGGCTCCCAGCGAGGCCTTCTGTGGGCCGGGGTCAGTGTAGTAGGCGCTCTGCGCAGAAATACAAAAAACTGCTTTGCGAAAGAATGTTGATGTTGGGAAATGAAGTGCTGTGAACGGGTTTTCAAAAAATTCACTTTACTGAAAGCTAAAAGTCTCCAGAGACCCAGATCCCCTCTTGTAAAAATACTTTTGAGTTTATTCAGACTCTAGAACCCCTGAAATAAGTTTTTTCTGACTCCATTCGTGTAGTCACAAGCGCTAACTTGTCATATAACCAACCTGATCACTGGTATGACGACTGGCGCTTGTAACACTTATATGCTGCGAATGTTGCGAGTGTTGCGAAGCACTCATGTTCGTCCCACTGTGATCGTCGCTTATACGCTCTGAAAACAATGAGACATTCCGCCAAAAACATCAGGAACTTTGAAAACTTTGTTACATAAAGATTATAAAACAATTCTATGCTCTGAGCTAGACCTTGGAATCATCATAATAATTCGAAATAATTCTGCTAAACATTATAAGAAAGAAATATGAAGAGGTTCATCCCATTGCGAAAGAAATAAATATTACTTCTAATCAGCAAGAACTGCTCCATTTTGAGAAGGACTGATAAGAAAGGTCTCCAAATATGGACGAGATAAATAGAAGATCGGTAGGAGGATGGAAGTGCAGGAACATATCAGGTAACCTAATACCGTGGAAAAGCGAGGTGCCAGTGAAAATAGAAGAAAAACATGGTGGGATCCAGTTAAATAAATAATAGTTCCGCGGGGAGAATTCTTTAGTTACACCGCTCAAAAGAAATTCATACCTGACTGTTTCGTCCGAACTGAACGCTTCGTCATATCAGACATGCTACGTCCTTCTTTCACACTTGTTGAAGAAGAAAAGGAACCACGTGAATCATGCGTTAAGGTTCCATCAGTATCGCGAGTATCGCGAGACGTCCCTGTAGATTCCGTCACAGTACTCGACTTTTCGCGCTGAAAATGTATCAGAGACCGTACCACCACGCAGTGTGAAGCCTTACACAACAATGCTTCAAACTCACACCAAAGTCACTACGAGTACGGCTTCCAGTCACTTCAGAGCCAATAGATGGAGTCGGTGCTGCCATGTTCCACTTTTGGACCAGAATTCCAGACTCTTTGAATTCAATGGGCACAACGCTGTCACCTTCAAAGGGAAACTATGTTGCCATCAATTCAAGTGTAATCGCTATTGCTCTAAAACGTTACACAGAAAGTAATTACCGTAGAACACATCAACCATCCTTTGTAATGCTGTAGCCGCCAAAAAGAAACATAAAGGCAGTGATACCGGCGGCTGCACCTCTATAGGCTCGTCGTACCACAATACGCCTCCATCTGAATGTAACATAATGATCCACGTACTTATCCATAACAATCTAGAAACATTTAAAAAATAAAGCCAGACTCACTGATGGGTTTGTTCTGCATGAGATCGTGTGAAAGGATGTCTGCTGGTGAATCCAGCAAACAAAACAGATTGAACCTGAAATTACAACAGTTTAACTGCAACACTCTAAGGTGCTGGAAAGAATCCCACCAGGTGGGATTCTTATAGTGATGGTCGCACAGCAGGGGTGTCGTATCTGGTCTTGATAAAAATTTTCCAAGATAAAGTTTCCCCGGTTGTCGACCTTTGCTGACTTTCCTTCCTATTAGCGCTGTACAGCTTTCGTCTCAGGGACATTTTCGGGAGACTGAGAAAAGGGGTTGGAAGTTCGGAAACTTGGAAGAATGTGAGTAGCATGGGGAAGGAGTCGTAGCAAAGAGGGGCAATGGGTCGCACTGATACGGAGGGTCGCGCTGATACCGCTATTTCATCAATCCTGTTAGTGTAGTGAAACAAATACCCTAGTATATAATAATAATATATAATACCCCCAGTCTTTCAGACTTTAATATCGAATGGTGAAAGGGGAATAAAAAAGTCTCCGAACTCCAGCGTGGAATAATTCATTGCGGACAAGTTGCCACACAATGCTGGGTAACAGGCAAAAGTCGTGACCGCAGGTGGGACTCAAATCCTCACCTTTCTTTACCACTGTGCTATTGG